CAAATTCTTTTAACTCTTGAAACTCATGTGCTTATGTCTATGTTAATGGAGATATTAACAGTCGGATTAATGGTAATTAATGGCATAACTCAACTTCTTAATTCTTCATTACATACTATTTTGCTATTCATCTTCCTCCCTTACAAATACACAAAAAAATTTATCTTCTCTGCATAAAATTTTATCTTTTGTCTGCAGACGTATGTTTCACTTTCCGTTAAAGTCTTGGCGGTGACACTATTCAGATACTAAGTTAGTTCGTCGGAGTAATATCTGCAGTGCTCAAACTTTACTGATTTTTCGTTGCATCGTGGGAAATAGATACTTGAACTAAACTTTAAACATTTACGGTGAGGTGGCAAATCCGTTTTAAAGAAATTGTGTTCACACAGGTCTCGGTTTGAAAGTTCATTCGATTTTTTGTTATTTCCTGCAATCTGATTTACTTGTTTTTTTTTTAATGTAATTAATAAAATTATTTAATCTGTAATATTTTTACCAACAAGGGAGAATAGAGATGAAATTTTCTTGTACTATACTAAGAAGATGGACGTACAGATGAACATTTATCATTCTCTCTGTGTGTTTTTATTTATTTTACTTTTACATTTTGTCTTGTAATGATAGGAAAAATGGAGAATTATAATTTAAAGTTGATTTTTTTAGAAGTGGTTTTTGTGAATATTGTTTGGTTATATTTTACTAAAAAGATAAAGAGAAATCAATTGAAAATAAGGATGGAGAAAAAATCAATTTCAAACAAGGCTCAAGTTTTTTCAGTCCGCTCTTATTAAAAGTAGTCATCCGTTAAAAGTGACCGATAATTTCAAACATTCATAATTTTTTTTATCTCTCTTATTTTTTCCTTGTTTCGAAACCAGCCAATCAAAAATCACCAATTACCATGTTTCCTGACATTTATTATTATTATTATTATTATTATTATTATTTTGTGCTTTTTGTATTTGCAATCATATGCGTTGGACATCCAAGTCCTGTACAAGTTATATACAGATTATTAAAAATTGAGAATTGAATGGTTGGATCCAAGTTATGAAATTGAAGGAAAGATGTTATATTTTATCGAGTCCTTAAGGCTTTAGTGGCTCACATGTTAAATCATGACTTGATTTGTATGAGACAACCTCAATATTCTTTTATAATCAAATTTTGTCGATTGAAGAAGTCAGCAGTTCACATAACACTTCATTTGTTAAGAGTTTTAAGTTTAAGATTTAATCAACATAAAAAAATTTCATCCATCGTGATAAATAAAATGTTACCTCGTATAATTTATACGCAAAATCATTTTTCCCTAAATGAATCATCAAAGATTAATTATAATTTCACAGTGATTGGTGAGGCAAACAAGTTGGGGGAACCTTAAAAAAATCTATAATGAATTATTATTAAATTTTGTTATTATCAATCCTTTGAGGGGTCTACATCAATGATCAATCCAACTTGAAAATTATATTGTTTTGTCGGACTTGGCTATTCTTAAATAAAACACGAGTTTAAATCATCGAAAGTTGCTCAAAAAGAATAATATTTACTTGGACAAGGAATAACTATGTTACTTTATTTAATTTTATACTTTAGGAAAACACATTTCACGACTTTAAGCCGTACTAATCCAATCAAATCAATCTCACACTTGGGTGGATCCTCGTGTGTGAATCATGTGAACTTGGCACTTGCCATAACATTTGCAATGCAATGAATCACGTGGGTAATTTTTATTTTTTTATCAAATTGTTACTATAGTTACCTAATCAAATTATTTAAACATAATATTCTACTCGGAGGTATGAAAATCTTGAGAAGAGCTGTGTGTATATATGGAAAATTGTCAATCATTAATTAGAGTTAGTTTCAAAGACAAAAATCCAAGCTTTATTCGGGAGATACAATATAATTTACAAAAATCGTCTCTCGTGACTTCATCCGAACATTAGATTTCATGAATTTTGGTGGGAGTCTAAACTAATTAAATCAGATTTAAAAATTTATATCTTATCGATCCCTTATATACGTAAAACAAAAACAATCAGGATCTCTGTTAAATCATTACATGCCTATTATAGAAACATGCGTGGGTTCAAATTCATAGGATTCGAGCCAAGTTGGAAAACAAAATCTAACTTTACAAAGAGTTGAATTCAATGATTGAGAACCAACTTGCTACTATTCCAATAGATCGATGACCAAATTCGAAACTTTTCATATGTATATTTAAAGAAGGGGGGGTGCCTTCCTCTTAACGTAATTGTCCAACCTTAAACTCACCTTTTACTCCTATATTTGCTTTCCAAATCCAGTAACCTCAACTACCCGGCATCCGATCAATTCACGCCACCTCTGATTGTGACCCGACCCGTGACCACCAACGCTAAAATGCTATCTTTTTGGTCCATCCTCACCAAGTACGCACTCACCTGCCACGTTCACTTCTTCGCCAATTTTTGGAACATCCACGGTTAGGATACATGAGTCCAGTGTTATCAATCCCATCGGATGGTTCCGATTACTTCAAAAATCGATTTTCATATTTTGACAATAAAAAATTAAATACTTTTTGTTGGTTCTACACATGGAATCAAAACCATGATAGAACTGATCTAGACAAAATCAATAAGTTCTGGTTCAGTTTAATCTGATTCTTTTTGTACTTCAAAAAATATTTATAAAATATTGTGTTTTAGATGACAAAATTGTTATTGGTCACGAGTAGTTTTGGACGAAAGTTCTCTCGAAGCTAAAAATTAAAAAGTTAAAATGAGTTATCGAGTCAAAATGGTACTAACACCTAGCATTGAGAAATACACACGCAATTAATCTATAGTAAGCCCTTGTCTGGTTTTCTTAAAAGTTAGATTTTTAATAAAAATTAATGAATATGAGATTGAAAAGTTACGGGTTCAATTAAAATTTACTTAGATTATTATTAACTTTCTTTGCTAAGCCTCATACCCCCATTAAATTATAATTCATTTTTCTCTCCCTTCTTATTAATCATACATTTTTCAATGAAATAATATTATATTTAAATTTAAAAACTTTTCAATCTTTTTAAATTACGCATTCTCCAAAAAATTATTACTAATCTCATTATAGTGTAGAATAATGTGAGCCAAAAGAGCGTAAATCTTGATCTTTCAATCCCACCCCACCCCACCCCACCCCACCCCACCCCACCCCACAACTAAAACATGAACCATAAAACATAAAGAAATTGAATGATGGGATATTGGCAAAATGGTTCTCCATTGCTTTCCCACTCGAAAGTTTGAACATAAAGACAATAATTGAAGTGAGAGAGAAAATATACAACTAAAAAAAAGAAAATATCTCTTTGTAAAAAGGAAAGGTCATCTTAAAGACATCATAGTACGAGTGGAGATAAAGCATCCACGTCCCCTCCTCCGAAGGACTAACCTCGTACTGTACCTCCTACCCTACCCTACCCTAAAAAAATTCAAATTGTACTTTCCTTGAACTTTGCACGTAATTGACTTTATCTTTATATACATTTATGCATACTATCGGTTTTCTAATATTCATATTCTCCTCGAAATTAGATTCAAATACACACCGATACTTATATAGTACAATATAAAAAAAAATAATACAAAGGGTACATTGTGAACTTGACATCATTATATACATCTCATCGTATGACAGGGTTGCCTTGGATTTCCTCTGTAAGGTGATGAACAAATTTGGGTTTAACCAATTATGGATTGAAAAAATCATACGCAGCATTAATAACTGCAGTTTTTCTATCCTGATTAATGGAGAGCTTAAAGGATATTTTTAATCCACTAGATGGCTGAGGCAAGGAGACCCCATCTCTCCATCTCTATTCATTATTTTGGCTGAATGTTTGTCTAGGGGCTGGACAACTTATTTTCGAGAAATAAAGACCTTCATTTCAGATATGGGGGTGATACCATTGTTTCACATCTGGAGTTTGCTGATGACATTGTCATATTCACTAATGGCAAAAAATATGCTTTGAACAAAATTATGATCTTTATCAGATCATATACAGATAACTCTGGTCAGGCTATTAATTGCAATAAGAGCTCATTTACCACCAGGAAGGATATCCATAAAAAAGTGATAGCTGATTCTACAAATTTCCAATTCCATCCTTTGCTTATGTTATATCTTGGAGTTCCTCTGTACAAAGGGCATAAGAAGGCTGCCTTGTTTGAGGATTTA